CATGTCAAGGAAGGGCACCAGTGTGCAGGCCCACTATGTATGCCTCAGACACTTTTAATGTAACTTCTATTTTATTTACCATTACTTAATAAGGTAAATGTTTAGTTCAAACAAAAAGACAGTAAGAAAATACTGTGAGAGAGAGTAGAGAGAACTTACCACAGAAAACTAGGGGTCTAGCCAGATGGTAAACTTTTTAAATTTTTATTTTAATGGGTGGGGTTTGGTAGCTTCATACATAAATACTGCATCTATATCACTCGTGTGTGTGTGTGTGTGTGTGTGTGTGTGTGTGTGTGTGTGTATCTTACTGTGTCTATTTAGCTTTGCTTATATATATACATGTCCAGGGCTGACCTCTTGGGATTGGACAACCTATGTAGTAGCTCATCCCTGTAGGAAATTGACTCTCCCTCTCTTAGCAGCTATTGTTCACCTGTAGCTCTTCATCTATGTGTTGAACTGTGCAGAATTTCCTGTCAGCATGGGTTCATTTTCTGTCATGTCTAGAGGACACTAACATCAGGTATCCCAAGCCACTGACTCTTAGAATCTCTGTACCCCTCTTCCTCCAGTGTTCCTGAGCCTGAGGTATAGGAGCTACCTTGAAGCTGTATCATTGAAGGTTAGGTACCCCATAGTCACTTAGTTCTGTAGTAGTCTTGTCTGTTGCAAAAAAAGAAGCTAGTTTGAAGAGTGGTTAAAGCTACACTTACTTGTGGTATAAGGAAAAAAATTTCGAAAAGCATTTGAAATTATACTGGTTTTGGAAACTGACAGTAATAGGTTCTCCTCTTGAGTCTTTGATCTCTCCAGACACAAGTAGTTTGCTAGATTTAAAATCTAGATCATGACTTAAATTCACATTGGTTTATTAGGAGCAATCAACATTACACACACACCTGCTTACTTCAGCTAACCAAGTCTGTGTCTGTCCAAATTAAACATGGAGACAAAGACTGTATTTGTGGTATGTGTGTGTGTGCATGAATGTATCCAAGTGTGCTCACCTGTGCAGGTGCATGTGGAGGATAGCGTGACATCAAAGTGTCATCCTCAGTGGCTCTTATACCTTATTTTGTTAGACATTTTAGACAGGATCTCAGCAAACCTGGAAGCACCATCTTGTTTAGGCTTGCTAGCTACTAAACCCTAGGGAGTCCCCTGGGTCTTTACCCATACCCAGCACTGGGCTTACAACATGCACTACCACACCCAGCTTTTTATGTGGGTGCTAGCGATCTAAACTCAGTTGTGCCATCTCTTTCAGCCCCAAAAACTGCCTTATAAAGGCTACCTGTAATACTCTCATATTAAAAAAAGCTTTTAGCAAATACAGTTATGACTGAAACTTACCTTGACCAGGCAAGATTCTGTAGCTCCTCTTAAGACTGAGCAGCACTACTCAGGAAGTGATGGCTCACCCCTTTAATCCCAGCACTCGGGAGGCAGAGGCTGGCAGATCTCCTAGTTCAAGGCCAGCCTGGTCTATGGAGGGAGTTCCAGGACAGTCAGGATACATGGAACCCTACCTTGGGGGAAGGAGGGGATTGAGCAGAATGGGATGGGACTGCCTAGTAGACTGGGACGTGTCACAAGTCATTGGCTTTCTGCCAATATGAGATGGTTCCACAGAGGCTGAGGACAGCTTGTCTAAAATACACTGTAAACAATGAAACAATCAAGCCTTGACCTGCATTCCCCATTCCCGAATCATCCATTTGTCTGGGACCTTGCTGATGAATTGATAAAACATAAGGTGAAAATTGAGTCTGATGGCTCAGCTTATTAGAAGCTAAGACAGGATGAGCCCAGCAGGTTCAGGCCCAGCTCCCTGACCCCCACCCCCATGCTACCTAATGAATTCCAGACCAGAATTGGACTGCAGTGTTACGTTCCTGTCTTAAAACTCCAAGAAGAAAAGTGTTAAAAGACACACATTCCTCCCCTTTCTTTAGTATCTGAAGGGATTTTTCTTTTTCTAGACTGTGTCTCCTATAAGCAAGGCTGACATTGAATTCATGGTCCCCCTGCCTCTACTTCCCAAGAGCTGGTTGAAAGGATAAAAAAAGATGAAGTAGGTACTTTTGGTGGGCTTTGCCAAGGTATGCTACTAAGCAAAAATGCCATGCGCAATAGAGTTAGTGCAAGAGAGTTATTGGGGGAGTTAGGAGTTAAAGCATGAAAGAGTAGTGGCATGAGAGAAGCAAACACATGACAACAGGTGATAATATAACCGCCTCAGCAACCGAGGTAAGCTGCCAAGGTGGGAACTAACATTGGTTAAGGGCTTGAGTCATTGTGCCTTACAGAAAAGATCTTTATCTACAGCCCTATCCCTATTTTCCAATACTTCCTGGTATCTAAGCCCTAGATTGTAGGCAAAAGTTTCTGTCCCGCCTACAGTCTCAAATAAACACACACAGACTTATATTAATTGTAAACTGTTTGGCCAATGGCTCAGACTTATTAGCTAGCTGTCTCTTAATTATTAACCCATTTCTATTACTCTTTGTATCTCCACGTGGTCTTGGCTTGCTGTGATGCCTGGGTCTTTTGCTTCTTCAGCACCTACAAGGTGTCTCCCTGACTCTGCCTACTACCTTTCTCTATCCCTGTTTGGATTTCCCACCTGGCAAAATCCTGCCTGCCCAATGGCCAAAACTGCTTTATTCATCAATCAATAAGAGAAACATATATTCACAGCACATCAGAAGGACATCCCCCATCACTAGACTCTTTCATTCTTGGCTGCAAATTGTTCTGATAGCTCTTTGTAAAATGTGCTGTCTTCCTATTAACTGCCTTCATTCACACACACACACACACACATATATATATATATTCATTCATTCTTGACCAAACTTCCATAAGTACAGATTTCTATGTGTATGTTTCACCATTGTTCTGCCACACAACAAAAGCCACAAATTGTGTTAATTTATATATGTCAAAATTTTTTTGCACTGTATAATGTAGTGAATGGAGCCAAACAATGCAGTATTCAGATTAGGGCCTAAAAGTTACTGTTGAATGGTGTTGTTGACCTAAGCCTCATTACATGTAAACTGAGAGTAATAAGGCCTATCTTGTAGTGTTGTAGAAATTAAATAAGATGCCCCTAATCTAATGTCATACACAGTAGATGCTCAGAAAACCTGCCCCTTCCCATTTCTGTTAGTGGTGGACGTGTGAGACCCAAGTTACTGAGTTTTAATTACTGTGCCTAAGAGTTCCTGAGGCAAAAATGCCTCTGATCTACAAGCCCCTTGTCCAAAGACAGATATATCCTATAATGCTGGAGGCTATTGTTTATGGGAAATAACAAGTCACATGTTTTTCACTCCCCTAAACAAGTTTGGGTAAACTGCACTGGATGTAGGGTAAAAGGGCCAGCCAAAGAAACCTACTTTGACCAACGGACACCAGAGCTAACCCTGCCCCTGACCAACTGAAACATGAAAGCAACCAATCTCTGAGCACCTTGACTCTGAACCCAGAGCCGGTGAAAGAAGCATACCCAGGATTTGAAACCTGAGCCAGTGAAAGGAATACTTTATCCCTGGACCTAGAACCAAAGAAAAATACCCTGACTTTGAAACTAGTCCCAAAGAAACACACTTTGTCCCTAGAATCAGAGCCAGTGAAAGAAATATTCCCTGGCCCTAAAATTAGAGCCAAAAGGCTAAAAGGGACTAGTGAAAGAAACACGGTTTGCCCTGAAATCAGAGCCATCTCTGCCCCTGACCCACTAAACTAACCAATCCCTGAACACAAAAACCTCTCCCTTAGAAAACTCTACCCCCAAGAAGCCCTATATAAGTCCATCTGTGTGTTCAGTTGTTGGCTCTTCACCACCACCCTGGCAGAGGCAGCCACTCTCCTGGACTCCTCCTTCCCAAATAAATCTCTAAAGAGTCTTGGGTGAAGATTTTCATTTGCCAGTGCAGAATAGAAGAACAGAAGAAAGTTGCCAGGACATTCCCTTGAAGGAACTGAGCAAGGCTGAGAATAGAAGAAACATGCTAGGAAGTTCTCTTGGGCTGAGCAAGTCTGTAGCAGAAAAGTAACTTTTTGCCTGAGGAGATTGCTATATTTCTGCAAGGGCTTTCCTTTTAGCAGACTGTAGTCGAAGAAGTGGTTAATTTAACTCTGCTAGGACATTCCATTAGGGAAACAGAGTAGAGCTCAGCTGTTAACAGCTCTCTCTAGGAGAGGAGTAGGATTGCTATATCCTGCAAGGAGACACATCCCCCACTATACCCAGACTCAGGTAGCCTGGCTTCCCAAATAAGTCAGGACACCTTTCTCTCCAGGGCTAAGCTCTCCTACTATAACTCCAGCCTCCAGAGCTGTCCTATTTCGGCTCTTGATAGCTTGACTTCCTGATAAGTCAGGACACCTTTGCAGCTCCAGAGCTGTAGCACTCACACTCACTTACATTTTGGTGCCAAAACCTGGCACTCACATTTGCTTATATACATAGACAGGAAATACATCAGGATGTATGAGGATGTATGCTTGCCCAATTGGACCTGATGGGAAATATGGTGGCCTTGTGGGGTTGTCTTTTTAAGTTTCTACAAAATGTGACTCATTGACATTTCCTGGAAACCCGGGTATGGACCTGGCCAGTATTTAATTAGAGCTGGTTTCAAATTTGCCTTTAAGGGCTTGAGAGATGGGCTCAGAGGTTAAGAGCACTGGCTGCTCTTCAGAGCTTCTGAGTTCAGTTCCCAGCAATTACATGGTACCTCACAACCATCTGTAATGAGATCTGGTACCTTCTTCTGGCCTACAGGCATATATGCAGGCAGAATACTGTATACAAAAAAAAAATTTTAACTGCCTTTAAATTGTGGTGGTCTTCTCAACTGGTGGGATTAACAGGTTTAAGCATTTGTCGGATGAATAGTCAGAGGTCTCTGTCGCATTTCAGGTAAGCATCCTATAGCTTTTACTTTTCTGTTGGGCTCTTACTCTTTGTTTGTGTGTTTCAGGTTCACAACCAGTATCCAACTGAGTTTGAATTCAATCTCTATTACCTAAAGTTCTTGGCTTTCCATTATGTGTCTAACCGCTTTAAAACATTTCTTCTGGATTCAGACTATGAAAGATTAGAGCATGGTATGTATTTTTATGCCCTGTTCAATTTTTTTTGTTAGTTTTACATGTTTTCAGTGAAAACTTAAATGATGTAACTGACCCCCAAATAAGATTTGAGTGTAGAATGATCTGAGTAACTGCCCAGTTCCAGGGCAATGTGCTCTCTCTCAGCCATTAGTTACAGCAAGTGTTCATTGTCCTACCTTTGTAAAGTTAAAAATGCTCACTGTTTGACACCTCCAAGCACTACCACTGTATAGGAGACATGTTTAATTCATAGCATTTCCATTCATGTCCACTCTGATAGGAAAGGACCTATTCATGCAAAAGGCTCCAAACCAAACAGATACAAAGTTAAATTCTAGCATCACTAGTTACCAGCTGTGCTTGGGGGGAGGATACTCTGAGCCTTGGCCTCCTCATCTTAGTAATGTGGGAACAGTGATAAGGTACAATAGAACCATAGTGACCACAGGAGGAAGCAGTGGGCAGTTTCTCAGCACAGTTGCTAGCATGTAATAAGCACTTGAGGAATTGTAGACATCACTATCATTATTACAGCTTTTAATAGCTATAATGTTTGTTTAAAAAAATAGATTCTGAAAAACTGTGAAAACATTTCCCAAGGGGTTGTTGTTAGAAAAATGAGGAAATTTGCATGACAAATTTTGTTAGGACAAGTCAAAATAAGTCAGCTCATGTTCTAGGTGGTTTGGTTGAAAGAGTTCCTACCTAGTAGGCACAGAGCCCAGGTGCCATCACCTGTATCATGTAAACTGAGCATGGTGATACATGTCTGTACTTCTAGCACTCAGAAGGTGTGGAATTAAAGGAAAACAAAGTTGGTATTCTCAGTACATCATATGTCACCGAGTATTTAGAAAGAGGACCCTTCACAACTAATACTTAACCAGCAATCTCTGTTTAAAATCTGAAATCAGGAGCTGGGCAGTGGCGGCACATGCTTTTGATCCCAGCACTTGGGAGGCAGAGGCAGGTGGATCTCTGTGAAGTTGAGACCAGCCTGGTCTACAGAGTGAGTTCCAGGACAGCCTCCAAAGCCACAAAGAAAACCTTGGGGGGGGGGTGAAATTAGGAAGTACTACTTCGAGGGCATGTTGTTGAATTTCCATCCTATTTGTTCTTCAGACCTTTGTCATACCTCGTATCACAGTCAGAAACAGTGTCTTAAGCAACATATGGTGGGAAAGTAATTAGAGCTGCTGCCAACTGACTATGACAGGGCCACTCCGTGTTATCACTAAAAGGTGCATTAAATGCATATATTACATGCATATATTGCTGTCCGAGAAATATAAAGCTGGTCAGCAAATTACCTTCACTTCAGTGGATGTGACCAAAGCCCAGGCCAAAACCCAAGGTTCCTACTTTTCCAGATGGCAACTCTAGTCAGAGAAACACCAGAATCTGGTGCAGCACTTCTCAGACTTGACTAGAATTAACTGGGGACTTCCAGGCAGCTAGAGCTCTTTAAATTCCCAGTGATTGATTGTACCGTGTTGCCAGGGTTGAGTGCTCCACTCCACTGGTCCAATGGGGATAGCATCCAACTAAGTCAGAAAATATGACAGTGGGTGAACAGCTTCATCCCTTAGCCTCAGTTCCCTCATCTGGAAACTAACTGGTCAAGGCTTTCTGTCCCATCTATGATCTAAAAGATATTCAACAGAAAGATTAAAGGAATTAGATAAGAGAATGTTCTACTAAACATGTTGACAGAATGAAGGTAAAATTAGTTTCATCCTGTGTCTTACACATTTTTCATAACCACCTAGAATGTCATTACCATGGGCCTATCCAAACCCCTCTCTACCATCTAGCCTAGTTTCATTTATATGCCAGTCAGTCTGGGTTGCCTAATTGGAATCTGTCCCTGCTGGGCAGACTCACAATTATGAAGCCTGCTCAGTGAAACACTAGTTACCAACAGCTGTGGGAACTCTACTCCACCTGCTAAGGTCAACAATTAGAGACTAGGACTCTCAGCCACTGCTGAAGGACATCAGTCAGAACTGTCAGAGTTTCATCAGAAACTCTCCACTGTCTTGGAAGAGTGTATTACTGTTTTGGAATTGGACTTTAATAGACTTGATGATACTGTCTGATGGTGCACATATTTTAAAATATTTGTTTATATTTAAATTGTTCTCTGTGTATTTACATATTACTCTGAGACAGTCATTTGGATAGTGTAAGAAAAATTCATTATCAGCCTGGTGGTGGTGGCGCATGCCTTTAATCCCAGCACTCAGGAGGCAGAGGCAGGTGGATCTCTGTGAGTTCGAGCCCAGGCTGGTCTAAAGAGAGAGTTCCAGGACAGTCTCCAAAACCTACAGAGAAACCCTGTCTCAAAAGAAAAGTCCATTGTCCATGGTTCCAGTCACTGGGTAGCACCAGGATGGAAGAGTGTGTCCTGAGAAACAGAGGGCTACCTCTCATACCCTCTGTCATTCTCTTGTCTAAAGTCTATCACACGGCATCCAGGGTGCTTCTTCCCTAGTGAAGCTGTAAGTGAGAGGACCCTGCAGTTAAGAGAGAAGGAAGAACAAAGGAAACAGTCAGTCTTGGGTCCCACGGGTTACAGAATTTTGTACAGCCTTGGGCCTGAGGCAGTCTCTTGTGGGAAAAAATTAACTTTTTAACAGCATCACTTCATACAAAGCAAAGCAGCACTGCCTTTCCAGAACTCACTCTTGCCTCACCCTGGTGTATTTATATCCCTCCATTAAGAACACAGAATACAGAGCCAGGCATGGTGGCTCATGCCTTTAATCCTAGCACTCGGGAGGCAGAGGCAGTCAGATCTGAGTTTAAGACCATCCTGGTCTACATACCTAGTTCCAGGACATCCAGGGATACACAGCAAAATGAGGTGGGGAAGACAGGGAGCAGGGAATATCAGAATCTAAGCTCATATAATCACTCAAGGAGGCAGAATACACACACTGTCTTCCAGAGTCTCTTGACTATCATTTGTAGTACAAGTAAACTTTTAACCAAGAATATGCTTTCAGTTGCTTCATAATAAACAAGTTTTTAAAAGAAGCATAATATCACATTGTCATCTGAGCTGCATCAGTTAATAAGTCCATTTTCTCTTAAGAAATGTGTAGCCTGCCTGTTAGTATTTAGGCATTTGTACTGACCTGTCCTTGGGGTTCTGACAGAATGCCCTCAGCTGCAACCACTAAGAGGACCACCTATGCCTATTTACTATGTTCCCTTTTAAAAGGGCTCTGCCCACCTCCCGTTTCTCTCTCCCTTCCCTATCCCCTGCTCTTCTGCCATTCCTGTCCCCAGAGACCTGTCTGTCCTCTCCCCTCCCCCCTTTCCCATTCACTTTCCCCCAATAAATAACCCCTCCACCCAAGTTCTGTGGCATGGTGTCTTTCTCTCTCAAGCTCTTTTTTAAACACCACCACCGTCTCTTTTGTGGATGTACATTCAGAAACAGGACATGAGTGGGACAGCCCTGCCAAGTCCCTATCCCACATTTCGCACAGACTTGACCTGCTTGTCCCTGTTTGTTGGCAGTTAGCTTTTAAGATTTCTGTACATTTGTTGCTTTCAGAAACATAAGAAATACCTCACTTTTTCCTCTTCTGTGTGCTTCATACTTTTAGACAAAATTTCCATTTCTTTTCATGTTGATGGATTTTTTTTTTAATTACAGGAACTTTATTTGATGATAAAGGTGACAAGCATGCCAAGAAAGGAGTTTGTATTTGGGAATGTATTGACAAGATGCACAAACGGAGTCCCATTTTCTTCAATTACTTATATTCACCAGTGGAAATAGAGGTAGAGTATCACTTATTTGCGTCTTATTTTCTGAATGTTTTGTATAAAAGTTTCTCTTCATTTTACTATATGTAAACATTTGACAGGGTTTCATATGAAAGGTATTTAAAAGTTTGAAATGACATAGGTTTGGACTGTAGTAGAAATGGAGACTGTTCACTAAATACTTGATGCAAATACTAGAAACTAGTCCATACAATCAAAACAAAGCAACTTTACCTATGTAGGATTAAAGGTGTGCCACCACACCATGCCATAGCTGCGAAGCTCAAATGCTTTAGTATGTAGTAAACCTGAGGAAGGGCCTTAAGGGAAGCACTGACATTTGGAACCCAGTCCAGAGGACAGCATATCTCAGGGGCAGCAAAGCTTGGTCATATGCATCTTCATGACGTAGGCATGCAACAGGCAAGTTTGACTGCCTGAAGTGGGTGCTGGGAACTCAGATCTTCTGGAAGATCACTGAGTATTCTTTAGCAGATGAACCCTCTCTCCAGCCCATAATTTCATCTTTTAAATTACTCCTGGGGCTCAGTGTGGTAGCATATACCTCTGATCCTATCACTTGAGAGAGAGAAGCAGGAGGATCACAAGTTTGAAGCCAGCCAGGACTGCATAGCAAAACTGATTCCAAAACATCTATTGTCATATTTTGTGTTTTGATAAAACTTGCCTGAAGATCAGAGGGTAGAACTAGCCCCTAATTAACCACAGAGGCTGGGAGGAGACAGGAAGCAGTAAGGCAGGGTATAGACAGGATCTCAGCCCCATTTAGGTCTGAGATTTTGTAGAGATAAGAACTCTAGTGCTCTTTGTCTGATCTTTCAGCTTTCACCCCCTAGTATCTGACTCTGGGTTTTTATTTAATATGACTAATTAGATTCACACTTCAACCATAAACAAAATTACTAGATGGGAACTGTTTTATACCACAAATAAATTAAATACTTGGGGGCTGGGCACGTTGCTAAGCAGAACACTTCAGTACTTAGGGGATGCAGAGGTCCCTGCCCTAGGCCATGCATTTAGAACTCTATCCAGCCTCTCTCCAAGAAACTAAATGCTCATTTTAGGTGGCCTCATCCAATCTTTGCTCTGGGTCCTCTGCATCCCTGATCTGAATCCAAGCTACTTACCCAGGTCAGCCTGCCATGCCAGTGCATGAATCCCAAGGGTCAGAGGAGCCAAGTAGCTGCCTGACAAGGATTGAGAAGAGTGTGGCTTTGTGGCCTGGGGTATACACAAATGTTCATGCAAGGTCAGCATGGGAGGGGGAGGAGGCTAAGCCAAGACCTGTGAGCTGAGGACCCATCTCCCCCTGGGCCTAGTATAGAATTGTGAGGAACCAAGAATGCTTTATTTTAATCTGACCTTCCAAATCATTAGGAGGTTACATTAGTTGAGGAAAGAGGGTAAACATGTTTTATTTAATGCTTTCTTAATGCATAAGTTTTAAATATTTAAGTGAATTTATATGCTTGCCCTGCACCCTGCAAATGTAAGGGGCTGGCCTGGTAGAAGTATCAAGTATTTCAAGGTTGAGATAAAACTACATTTCAGAATTTTCTTTAAACAGGCCCTGAAACCTAATGTTAATGTCTCCAGCCTCAAGAAGTGGGATTACTACACAGAGGAGACTCTGTCTGCAGGTCCTTCATACGACTGGGTGATGCTGACCCCCAAGCATATTCCCTCCGAGGAGTCGGAAATAGCTGGAGGAGCTGGACCCCAGAGTCAAAGGAGAACAGTGTGGCCATGCTATGACGACATCAGCTGCAGCCAGCCAGATGCCCTCACCAGACTTTTCAGTGTAAGTCAGCAATGTGTAAACACATCTACAGGCACTTAGGGCCCCCAAGAGGAGAGAGCATAGACTGGACTTGCATACTTACTTTTTTTCTTTTGTATTTTACATTCCAATCCTAGTTCCCACTCCCTTCACTCCCCCCTCCTCCTATCTGCTCCATGGAGAGGAGGCCTCCCATAGGAAGTCTACTAAGTCTGTCCCATTATCTAGTTGAGGCAGGACCAAGGCACCTCTCCACCCCCACACCCCTGTGTCTAGGTTGGGCGTGATATCTCTCCATATAGCATGGGCTCCACTAAGTCAGTTTGTGCATTAGTGTTAGGTCTTGAATCCATTGCCAATGGCCTCATATATTGTCCCAATCACACCATTGTCATCTATATTAAGGGAGTCTACTTGGGTCTTATGCAGATTCCCTGTTTATCAGACCTGAGTTAGTGATCTCTCACTAGGCTCAGGTCAGTTGATTCTGTGGGTTTCCCCATCATGGTCTTGACTTCTTTGTTCATACTTTGGTTCTCCCTCACTTGGATTGTCCTCCAGGAGCTTGGTTCACCGGTTAGTTGTGGATTTCTGCATCTGCTTCCATCTGTTTATGGAAGAGAGTTCAAGCTTCTCTGGGGTTATGGATTGTAGGCTGGGTATCTTTTGCTTTATGTCTGATATCCACTTATGAGTACATACTATATTTGTCTTTCTGGTTTTGGGTTACCTCACTTAGGATGGTTTTTTCTAGTTCTGTCCATTTGCCTGCAAATTTTAGGATGACATTGTTTCTTACCACTGAGTAGTGCTCCATTGTGTAAATATACCACATTTTCTTTATCCATTCTTCAGTTGAGGGGCATCTAGGTTGTTTCCAAGATCTGGCTATTACAAATAATGTTGTTATGAACACAGTTAAGCAAGTGTCCTAGTGGTGTGAATGTGCCTCCTTTGGCTATATGCCCAACAGTGGTATTGCAGGGTCTTGAAATAGATTGATCCCTAATTTTCTGAGAAATCTTCATACTGATTACCACCTATTTGTATTCTTCTACATGTTGACAGCCAGTTATACCTGCACTATTTGTTGAATATATTTTTTCCATTTTATAGTTTTAGCTTCTTTGTCAAAATTAGGTGTTCATAGGTGTGTGGGTTGATATTGGGGTCTTTGATTCGATTCCATTGCTCCACCTGTTTGTTTTTGTGCCAATATCAAGCTGTTTTCATTACTACAGCTCTATAGTAGAGCTTGAAGTCAGGGATGGTGATGCCTCCAGATGATCCTTTATCGTACAGGGTTGTTTGGGCTATCCTGGGTTTTTTTGTTTTTTCCATATGAAGTTGAGTATTGCTTTTTCAAGGTCTGTGAAGAATTGTGCTGGGATTTTGATGGGGATTGCATAGAATCTGAAGATTACTTTTGGTAGGATTGCCATTTTTACTGTGGTATTAGCTATTTTGATTTCTGGTAGAATTCTGTACTGAATCCATCTGAGCCTGGGCTTTTTTTGGTTGGGAGACTATTGATAACTGTTTCTATCTCCTTAGGGGTTATAGGTACATTTAAGTTGTTTATCTGTTCTTGATTTACTTTGGGTATGTGGTACTTATCTAGAAAATCGTCCATCTCCTTAAAGCTTTCCAATTTTGTGGAGTACAGGTTTTGAAGTATGACCTGATGATTCTCTGGATTTCCTCAGTGTCTGTTGTTATGTCTCCCTTTTCATTTCTGATTTTGTTAATTTGAATATTCTCTCTCTGCCTTTTGGTTAATTTGGATAAAGGTTTATCTATTTTGTTGACTTCCTCGAAGAACTTGTTGTCTCATTGATTCTTTGCATTGTTTTCTGTTTCTGTTTTATTGATTTCAGCCCTCAATTTGACTATTTCTTGCCATCTACTCCTTCTGGGTGAGTTTGCTTCTTTTTGTTCTAGCGCTTTCAGTTCTGTTAATTCACTAGTGTGTGATTTTTTTTCCAGCTTCTTCATATAGGCATTTGGTGCTATGAACTTTCCTATCAGCACTGCTTTCATTGTGTCCCGTAAGTTTGGGTATGTTGTGAGGTCATTTTCATTAAATTTTAGGAAGTCTTATTTCTTCCTTCATCCATTGGTGGTTCAGTTGATCATGGTTCAATTTCCATGTGTTTGTGGACTTTCTGAAATTAATGTTGCCGTTGAATTCTTATTTTAAGCTGTAGTGATCTAATAGGGTACGGGGGTTTATTCCAATTTTTTTGTATCTGTTGAGGTTTGTTTTGTTACCGAGTATGTGGTTGATTTTTTGAGAAGGTTCCATGAGATGCTGTAAAGAAAGTATATTCTTTTGTGTTTGGGTGGAATGGTCTATAGATGTCTGTTAAGTCTATTTGAGTCCTAACCTCCCTTATTTCTGTTAATCTTCTATCTGGCAGATCTGTCCAGTGTTGAGAGTGGGGTATTGAAGTCTCCCACTATTAGTGTGTGGGCTTGATTTGTGATTTAAGCTTTAGTAACGTTTCTTTTACAAATGCAGGAGCCCTTGTGTTTGGAGCATAGATGTTCAGAATTGAGATTTCCTCTTGATGGATTTTTCCTGTGATGAATGAAATACCCTTCTTGATCTTTTCTGATTGTTTGTTTGAAGTCTATTTTGTTAGATACTAGGATAGATATACCAGCTTGTTTCTTAGGTTCATTTGATTGGAAAAAATTTTCCCAACCCTTTACTCTGAGGTAATTCGAGTTTGAGGTGTGTTTCTCTTATGCAGCAGAAGAATGGATTCTGCTTTCATATCCAATCTGTTAGCCTGTATCTTTTTATAGGTAAATTGAGACCATTTATATTAATGGATATTAATGACCAGTGATTGCTAGTTCCTGTTATTTTTGTTTTTGTTGATGGTGATGGTATTGTGTGTTCAGTTTCCTTCTTTGGGGTTTGCTGCTGTAAGCGCATCTATTTCTTGTGTTCTTGTGGATGTAGGTGATTTCCTTAGATTGGCATTTTCATTCTAGTACTTTCTGTAGGGCTGGGTTTGTGGATAGGTACTGTTTAAATTTGGTTTTATCATGAAATACCTTGTTTTCTCCATCTGTGGTTATTGAAAGCTTTGCTGGGTAATGTACTCTGGGCTGGCATCCATGATTCCTTAGTGTCTGCATAAACTCTGACCAGGACCTTCTGGCTTTCATTGTTTCCACTGAGAAGTCAGGTGTAATTCTGATAGGTCTGCCTTTATGTTACCTGGCCGTTCTCCTTTGCAGCTCTTAATATTCTTTCTTTATTCTGCATGTTTATTGTTTTATTATGTGATGAGGGGACCTTTTTTTTTCAGTCTATTTGGTGTTCTGTAAGCCTCTTATATTTTCACAAGCATGTCTTTCTTTAGGTTAGGGAAGTTTTCTTCTATAATTTTGTTGAATATATTTTCTGTGCTTTTGAGTTGGACTTCTTCTATCCCTATTACTCTTAGGTTCAGTTTTTTTCATGGAGTCTCACATTTCCTGCATGTTTTGTGTTAAGATTTGTTGAATTTAAAATTTATTCTTTGGGCTGGAGAGATGGCTCAGAGGTTAAGAGGTCCCGAGTTCAATTCCCAGCAACCACATGGTGGCTCACAACCATCTGTTATGAGATCTGGTGCCCTCTTCTGGTGTGCAGATATATATGGAAGCAAAATGTTGTATATATAATAATTTTTTAAAAAAAATTTATTCTTTGACCAATGAATCTTTCCTCCAAATTATCTTCAATGCCTGGAATTCTCTCTTCCATCTCTTGTATTCTGTTGTTTATGCTTGCATTTGTAGCTCCTGATCATTTACCCAGATTTTCCATTTGTATTTTCTTTATTGCCTCTATTTCAGATTTCATATCTTGAATCATTTCCTTCATTTGTTTGATTGCTTTTTCTTGGTATTCTTTAAGGGATTTGTTGATAACTTCCAATTTTTTGTTTGTCTTTTCCTCTTTTTTTTTTTTTTTTTTTTTTTCCTAGACAGGGTTTCTCTGTGGCTTTGGAGGCTGTCCTGGAACTAGCTCTTGTAGACCAGGCTGGTCTCGAACTCACAGAGATCCGCCCGCCTCCCGAGTGCTGGGATTAAAGGCGTGCGCCACCAATGCCTGGCCCTCCCTTTCTTTAAGAGAATTTTTCATTTTCTCTTTAAGGGCCTCAATCATCCTCACAAAGTTATTTAAGTCATTTTCTTCTACTTCGTCTGTGTTGGGATGTTCAGGTCTTGCTGTTGTAGCACCACTAGTTTCTAGTGTTGCTGTATTGCTCTTTATATTGTTGAGTGTTCTTGTTGTCTATGCATCTCTTCCTCTAATCGGTATAGGTGGAGCTTGTGCTTGAGGGGGTTCTCTCTCCAGTTGGTATAGTTGGGGGCTGAGGCTCCCTTGACTGCTCCTTCAGGTACAAGTAGATCAGAGCTTCCGGTGAACACTCTTCCTGATGGAAGTGGACCCAATGCTCAGCTGGTCACTCCTTGAGGTGCAGGTGGGGCTACAGCTCCAGTGGATGCTCCTCCCATTGGAGGTGTAGATGGGGCCGAGTCAATATAGTAGTGGGATATCTCCCACGGAGAAATGGCAGTGGATGCTAGCTGGGTCACAGGTGATCTTTCCCAGAGGAACTTTTTTTTACAATAGTTTCTGGAAGCTACTGCTGTTGCTTCACCTGGTGCTCACTCCTCGCTCCTGCGACTGAGACTAGGGCATCCCTCTAACACTGCTCCTAGTTCTGAGGCTATTGGCTCCCTTGACACTGCTCTGGGCCTGAAACTTGGGCCTTTCTCTGACCTTTCCAGGCCTCTTACTGATGCTGCTCAGGGCCTGTAACTCGAACCTACCTCCAACGCTGCTCCTGGGTTTGGGACTGGGACCTCGCTCTGACACTGGTTCTGGTTCTGAGACTTGTGACTCCCTTGATGCTGCTCCAGGCCTGAATCTCAGGCCTTCCTCTGATGATGCTTCTGGGCTGGGATTCAAGCCTCTCTCATTGACACTGCTTCCGGTCTTGCACATTTACATTTGTAATGGCACCCCTACTCTAGGCAGTGTCATAGTTAACACTCTGAATCTGAAGAATCTGTAGCACAGGCCGGGCATTGGTGGTGCACGCCTTTAATCCCAGCACTCGGGAGGCAGGCGGATCTCTGTGAGTTTGAGGCCAGCCTGGTCTCCAGAGTGAGTGCCAGGATAGGCTCCAAAGCTACACAGAGAAACCCTGTCTCGAAAAACCAAAAAAAAAAAAAAAAAAAAAATCTGCAGCACAAATTCTAGTGGGTATTAATAATAAAATCCCTGACAGGGCGATGGTGGCACACACTTGTGATCCCAGCACTCAGGAGGCAGAGACAGATGGATCTTTGTGAGTTCAAGGCCAACCTGGTCTACAGAGATAGTTCCAAGACAGCTAGGGCTGTTACACAGAGAAACACTGTCTTGAAAAACCAAATAATAATAATTACAAAACAACCCAGAGACAGATATTGGGATTAAAGCTGAAGATCAGAAAAGCAAAAGTGACCAGCCACTAGAGAATTCTCACCTCTAACAATGCCCAGACCAAAAGGGCAATCCTGTCAGACTGCATCTCCAGACTGCGTCTGTGTCCACCAAACCTCAGACTGCATTGAGTTCCTGTCTCCTCCCACTTTATATTCCTCTCTAATGCTGGGATTATAAAGGTGTGGGATCCCAAGTGCTGGGATCACCTTTGTGTGAACTCTTTCTCTTTTAGACTGATCAATTTCATGTAGCTCAGGGTGGCCTTGAACTAACAACAGAGATCTGTCTGCCTCTGTCTCACAAGTGCTGGGATTAAAGGTGTGAGTCACTACTGCCTGGCCCCTGTGGCTAACTAGTGTGTCTAGCTTTGCACTCTGATCTTCAGGCAAGCTTTATGTGTTAGATCGTAAACAAAATATCACTACAAGAATTAATTCTGTGCAGCAGTGGGCACCACACTTAACTATTAGCAAAAAGTAACCATAAAAGTGACTTTGCAGTGCTACAAGGAAGCAGCTGAGCAAACAGCAATTCCCCTTCTGACTACTTCCCAGCAATATTACCTGTCTAGGCTGTTGGAATTAGGTCTAGGCAGTGGCTTTCGTGGGTGTTTTACTTCCCTTTGTTAGAAATATGGGTAGCTGATGGCCTGATGGGACACCTTCTGCAACGCATATTCTGGAATGAAGCCATCCTGGCAGTAGCCACCCCAGACATCTTTGTGTTTGATGTGAGTCAGACAGTTCATGAAGAGTCCCCTCTGTTTTCCAGCTTCAGTGGTGGCTGTCTCAGACCCTGTCAGAGTGGAAGCATCTTCATGAGCATCTCTTGGTTCTTTCTTTGCACATCTGGTTTGAGTCAGAGTTGAGGGGCTCCTCTGTCAAGAAAGACTTAACTGCCTCAGCCATTAGTGTTGGGACATAGGCCCACAGTCAGCCTTTAGCTTTGGTCATCAGATTTCCAACAGGCTCTCCAAGAGTGAGGAAGGTGTTTGAGACACACACTCCAGGTATTATTATTAAAGTCAATCTGTTCAAAAACCCTGCCGAGTCCCAATAAATCATCAAATCCAGCTATACGCTAACCATGCTGTTCATCTGGGCCCAGTACAGAGGAAACTGTCTCTAGGCACCTCCTGACCTTCCAGAAAATACTCATCTGTCAAACTGTCCTTTTAATTTCTTTGCAGGAAATTGAAAAATTGGAGCATAAATTGAACCAAACTCCTGAGAAATGGCACCAGCTATGGGAAAAAGTAACCATGGACCTGAAGGATGAGCCAAGAACAGACCATGTGAGTTGGCAGAGGCCCCTAAGCTTTGGAGGGTGTTAGGTCAAATGGGGCCCACAGCCCAGAGCCCAGAGAAAGTAGTAGAGTGGGGTCATGCCCTGGGGGTTCAGGGCAGAACGTTCCAGATGACCAAATGCTTCCTGAATGTCTCACTCCCCACAGTGACATAATGCACATGTTTCAGGCACTGAATCCAGAGGAAATTAGTGGGTTCTCTATCTCGGTGCCACTGTGGTCTCTGCTGACCTACCACAAAGGACAGGGAATGCCAAGCCCATGTTTGCTCCAGAGAAACAAGCAAAGAGAAATATTCTAAAATGACAACATATGCTACTTTCTGTTTCCCAAACCTCCTTTTCTGCTGCTTCCTGTTTCTCATACCCCATTTCCTATTTCTGATATTAGAAACATTTATCAAGCACATGATACGTCCAAGGGACTAAACCCTGTGCAGTCCACAGTGAGCAAGGTTTGTACCTCATGCACAGGAGGAATGCAAAGAAGTGTCACAGCTATAACTGGCAGGGCCACCCCTCAAGCCCACAGCACGGGGAAGCAAGGATGCACGAGTGTTCTGAAGAGCACTTCAGGAGACAAGACAGGTGGCCTGAGAAGGTGGCCTTGATGAAATGGCCTCGGGCTCCATCTTAGCTCCACATGGCTGTTCAGGGACTGTTGCCTCTTGGGCATATACGGCTTCAGCATCATCCTTTTACCCCAGAAAAACAAAATGGTTTCTAGATTTTTTATATGAAAGTAGGGTGTATATTTTTAAAATAACAGTACACAGAAGATTACCAAGAGGTGAAAATTACCCAGTATATAACCTAGAAATAGGAGATTTACTGTGTGATATTTTAAAACCTGCCTTCTTGTTGGCATACATGCCATTCATTTGCATCATTTTGGTTGCTGTCTAGAATGCCATTGAGAAGTTATTTTTTTGTTTTTTTAACCAGTCCCCAAATAATGGGTACTAAGTTGTTTCTACTTTTCATAAAAAATAAAACAGAAGAAATATTAGACACGTGTTGGCTCACTAGTCAGTTTTTACCCTAAACTTCTGGGAAACTTCCTAGCTCCTATTTTGTCTTTTTCAGACCCAAAGTCACTCATCGGGGTCCCCAGGTCTTGTGTCCACCAATGTGCCTTCCTATCAGAAGAGGCCTGTGCTCCACCCACTGGACCGCAGCACTGTCGAGGACCAGAGTGCCACCATCGCCCCATCCAATGGTGTAGAGCACAGGGCAGCCACGCTTTACAGCCAGTACACATCAAAGAACGATGACAACAGGTGACATTACAGGGTCCTGATGTTAGTCTTAGCCAGCCCTGTGCAAACAGCCTTGCCAGACTTGAAATGGATTTGCTTTTATTCTGTGGGTTTTTGGTTTTTGGTTTTCTTAAATGCTGTGTTTTAGATGGTTCTGGGGGTGGGGATCACTATTTGGGAGAATGTGTGTCAGGCAATATTTTTTCAGTGGCACACATCAGAAATCCCTCTCATCCTGGCTGAAAGAAAAGGAATGTCCTCATATAAACTAGGGATGACATGCTAGTGTCTCTCACAGAATCTTCAGACTTCTGTTTCCAGCTCTGTTTTCCCTCGGTGTCACAGCATTCCTAGCATAGCCGAAAGCAAGGAAACCAAGAATTCGTAGCCAGTGGAGTGTGGCAGTCCCAGCAGGAGGAGTCAGTCTCTCCCCAAATGGCTAGGGACAAAACTCAGGGAGAGCTCTCATTAGGGAGACAGAAACCTGATAAACAAAAGGCAGTGTGTGTGATTTTGTAATGAAGTCAGAATAAACTTTCCTGTTGCCCTTTCTTGTAGATCCTTTGAAGGAACGCTGTACAAAAGAGGAGCACTGCTGAAGGGCTGGAAGCCCCGCTGGTTTGTTTTAGATGTAACAAAACATCAGGTGAGACCTAGTCATCTCAAGCCCTCTTATGTGCTTCTCACACACAGCATGCTCACCTAGGGCTTCACCTTTGTAGATGGTAGCTCTTCCAAGGCCCCAAATGTCCCTGCGCCCGGGCACTAACTGTTGGAAGGAGATTTTTAAAGCAGCCTTTACCCAGAGCCCAGCATGCTCAGGGCACTGGAACTCTTAATGCATAAACGCCTCCTCCTTAACACCCAGGTCTAAGAAGCATCTGTGAGCTTTAGCCCTGCTGCATGTGGATGTGAGCTATGTGCCTCCCTCTCTCCCAGGGTACAGCTGTCCATCTTTGCTGCAGAAACTATCCAGTTATGACAGATTTGTCCAACATTTATTGCGCCCCACCTCACTGTACTGGTTATTTAGCAAGAAAGTGCTGTTCTTCAGAGATGGGAGCACTGGGAGGGAATGTGCCCACCCAGTCCTGGGACTCACAGCAGGCTAGATTAGACCTCACTAAAAACTCTTTGGCATGCTTTACTATTGTCCTAGCTGCTACAAGTTAGGCTTCATCTCTTTGCTCCTGTAATTTCAAAGGACTCTTATCCAAACCTTCTGCCACCGCACTCTTCATTTGCAAAAGAAGTAAAGCCTCTTTTTAGGCTGAATTGCTGTGGTCGGAATGCAGAGACCATCAGGAAGGACCTAAAGCAGTGGTTCTCAGCCTCCCTAATGCTGTGACCCTTTAATACAGTTCCTCGTGTTGTGTTGACCCCAACCATAAAATTATTTCATTGCTACGTCACGTCTGTAATTTTGCTACAGTTAATGGGTCATGAACATCTGATATGCTACCCCCAAGAGGTCACAACTCACAGATTGAGAACTGCTGTTCAACTCTGTGACCTGACAGCACTCCTATAGGACAGTATCAGGAGGACCCCTCCAGAACAAGGCTGGTCTGGGGCTACGTTTTCCTCTGGTTCAAGGGCTTTTTTGGTTTTTTGTTTGTTGACCCTTAAGAATATTGAGATTTGCAAATATACAGATAGAAGCCCTTTTTAAATCTGTACTTTAAAATAGCAGTGTCCCTGAAATCATAGAATCTTCACTGTGTAGAAAAGTTCCATTAAACCACTAAATATAGCATAAGAAAAATCATGATTTTTCTATAATTTAAAATCATATCAAATTATGCTTGTATTCTTACCAATCTTCTGGATTTCTTTAGCATGGAAGTATATAGCTTTTCCATTTAGTCCTGCTCATACCATGCCTGGGGGTGCGGGTAGTGGATCAGTGATGGAAATGTCAATCACAGTCCTGCCATGCACACTGGGAGCCGAGCTAGGCCAAGAAACCTTTCACCAGCAAGCTCTTGAGCTTTTAAAATACTTCATTTCTTCTTATTCCAAAGTAATACATGGTTATTGTGCCAAATTTAAACATCTCATAAAGCTCTAACAGCCCCAGAGCTGGCAGCTAGGAGCTGTCTGTGATGTCCTTCGGCACCATTTTATACTGCATGTCTGCTGCTTGCCAGCTTGCTGTTCATTTCAAAGCCTTCCTTGTCTTTTGTCCATCTCATGGCCATGCTGTCACTTAGAGAGCCAGTGCTCAGTGCTGCACTGACAAATGCAGCACCAATGGAGGCCACAGCATTTCCTGTTGGAAGTTGAGGTAGGAGAGAGGGTCCACACATACACATACTCATTTTAGCCAACATGACTATATTTTTTCTAACAAGTGTTGTTCCCAGTAACATATGGGAACCTTACTATCTTGCTGGGCATTGCCAGTCACTGTAGTATTTCTCAGACTAAGGTGGACTCTGGGTGATTTCATTTGTCAGGCAAAGCTGGGGAGATTCAGGATGTTTGTAGCTAGGTGATATTTCTCCTGTGATTGCCCATTGCAATCCTTTGGTCATTTTCAGGTAGGTTGTTTATCAGTGTCTAGGAATTTTTTGTTTTGTTATTGTTTTTGTTTTTTCAAGGGAGTTTCTCTGTATGTAGACCTGGCTGTCCTGGAACTCACTCTGTAGACCAGACTGGCCTTGAACTCAGAGATCCTCCTGCCTCTGCCTCCCAAGTGCTGAGATTAAAAGCAAGAGGCAGCAAGAGTTGTTTATGCTAGGGTAATATCCAAACAGAGGAAAGTGATCAGATACAGCTTGGAAAGCCATGTCACTTCTCATTTCTGTGTTCTCTATGTCTCTTTTTGGTCCTAGCTTCGATACTATGATTCGGGAGAAGACACAAGCTGTAAAGGACATATTGATCTGGCTGAAGTAGAAATGGTTCTCCCTGCTGGACCCAGCATGGGAGCCCCAAAGTATACAAGTGACAAGGCTTTCTTTGATGTGAGTTCATCTTCCCTGCCCCACTGTACATCTCTCATCATCTCCCAACAGTTGAGTTGGTAGTCACTAGAGATGGGTGTTTTATGGCTTTGGGTGAGTGGCAGACTAACACCTGACTTCCTTTTCACACAGCCCAGAGCCTCTGCCCCCTCCTCAGCCTTACTACAGCACTGTCACTTTGGAGAGGAGAAGAAAGTCAGGCAGAGTAGAGCACAAGAAAAGCTGACATCTTCCTGCAGTTTCCTTTGAGGAAACCAGGGGTGGGGAGGTGGCCTCAGGACCAGCTGGTGCCTCTGGCCTCTCATACACAGCACCAAAACAAGAATGGCGAGATAGCATCATAGCCTGTACAGGGGTGGGTAATGTGACCTCCCACTTGGTGACACTGGCTTTATCCTCAGGATATCCTAGATAGCCATCTGTTTTTGCATGGCCTTTAGAATACCCCACAGCCCATCTCAAGGTGACAGATGTTAGAACAGGCAGTTTTGTCTGTCCAGGATGGGACTAGTTTGTCACTCACCCAAAGCCATAAACTCTTGCTTTATATCTGATCCTCTGTCATTGGTTCTGTAGCTCAAGACCAGCAAACGTGTGTATAACTTCTGTGCCCAGGATGGACAGAGTGCCCAGCAATGGATGGACAGGATCCAGAGCTGCATCTCTGATGTCTGATGACCATGATTGGCCAAGCACATGAGCAGAGGAACATCTGCCAGACAGGAGTGCACAGTGGTCATCCCAGGGTCTGAGGTTCTGCTTATCCTGGCCCCTCTTGAAGCAGTTGCCTTGTCACACAGGTCTGGGTAGGAGCCCAGACCCCCCTCATGGCATCATTCCAACAGGATTTAAGCGATTGGGGGATCAGAGAGAAAGCTCCCATACCTGCTGCCATCATCTCCTAGGCAAGGTAGCTACCACCTGAGCCTTCGTGAAGGTTCTTTTTGTTCTCCAAGGCCATAGTTTCCTTCGAGAACTTTGACAACAAAAATCCATACCCTCAAAAGGTCATCGTCTGTCTTACATATGTTTCCCATCTGTAACACCTACTTTTATGCCTGACCTTTGCTCGGTTCTCTGGTGCTGCCAAAAAGGTGCTTTCATGGTCCCCACCCTGCCATGGAGCATCACAGCAGGAGACATCACTACTCTACTTGGTGGCAGGCAAAAGGGAGTGCCCAGGGTTCTCATGGGGAAAGCAACAGTGACACAATAAGACATGGGCCAGTGCAGGAAAACCACTGCCTCTAACCACTGGTCTCTGAGGACATAGTGCCTGTGCCCACTCCTGTTCCTTGACAGCTTTCTGTGAAGTAACAAGCAGAAGTGAGACTCCATAGAACACTGGCATTGAGCTCCTAACCAAGAAGCAAGTTGGAGACTGAGGCCAGCTGCTTGCCAGCACACATCTGGGACAAAGCCAGATAACCAGACAGCACTGCTCCTGAGAAGTAAGAACTGCTCTAAAACACTCAATTACAATAGCCTTGTTTCTTTAGCCTAAAACTCAAGGCGCTGTTCACCTCCATGAACCTGAGCAGCTGCTGGGCCCCTGGTGGCTTGATTGATGTGTTTGTTTTGAAATGTTAATATGTTAAATACCAAACTAATATTTCAAAATATGTATATATGATTTCTATACCCTGATTTTTCAGATAGCTTGCTTATAATTTAATATAAAAATAACTAAACTGATTCATAAGATTTTAGTATTAAAAGATTGTTCCCTTTTTAAAGAAAACTACTTTGTAGATTAAAAATAAATCAGATTTTCAAATTTAAAATTATCAACACACTAGAAAATAGAATTGTATTAATATATAAGAAATTGGGAAATAAAAATGAAGGAATTTTTTATCACATTCATTTTATAAATTTGCCACCTGTGAAAATGGTTTTTGCACATTATTTGTATTTTTCTTTGTATATGAAATAATTTTTTGTACTTTGTAAACTATGGATCCCATTGTACTTTAGCTCTTTGAGACTGTGCCCACTACTGCTTTTATAACTGGATCCTTTTAACTTTCATGAAGGCATAACAAAGCCTTGAGTCCACTAACCACCGGAATTAAATTTATTTCTTAAGAAAAAGTGTCTTGTGTTACTGTAAAGTCAAGTTCATTCTTCACTGTCCAGTACTCAGGTTCCATCTGAACCATGACCCATTTGGGCCTTGGAAGCCACAGAGATGCTGGACCGCAGCCATGAGCATATGGATCCTGAACACATGGATCCTGAACACAGTTCTGTGGCAGTTAGGGGAAAGCCTCAGCCATCCTCTGCTTCCCCAGTAAACTGGACCAGAGTTTACTACTGGTGTATGGCAGATTATTAAGATCATAGGCAGATGACATTGAAGTCCTATTGAGTCATAGACTTTTCTGGACTGGGGAATTGGTTTCAGTTCTAAATGACACTCTGGTTAACTCTCTGGAGTTTACCTTACACTGCCAAAAAGAATACCAATCCTTATCTCAGCCTTCAGCAGGTCAGAGTGCTCCAGGGGCTTCAGAGGCCTGACCAAAGCAGTGCTAGTCCCTCCTTGAGCCTCCAGGTACATATGATCCAGCCAATGGGTCTCAGGCCTCCTCAATGGCCACCCTAGGACCTGCCACATTGCCCTACTGTGTCCCTGAAATTCAGGAGGGAAACGAGCCAGGGGCTGAGCATGTTCAATGCTCACAGTCAGTACTGAGATACTATTCCATAGCTGCAGCCAAAGCTAAAGGGGAAGGACAGACAAGCCAAGGCTGTATATCAAGTCCCTAGCTGTGGCTCTGGGAGATGCAACCATCAGGTCTTGCTAGCATAGGTCCCGTTATGGCCAAGTCCCTACTCACCACCACCTCCACTCTAGAACCAGGACTTCTACTGCTAACAGCTGGCTGCCTCCATGGAAACTGGCATGTTAGTTATTTTGTCATGATTTAAAGAGTTGTTGAATAATACCATCATAGGATGAAAACTGTCAAAGAGCCTAGGTTGATCAGCAGGCAATGCCCTCAGTGGGATTCTAGGTATGTGCACCTTGCCCTGCTGTTAATGGCATTCTTTATATAACCCATTATCCAAAATGCTGTTTCAGAAATTCATTAATACAAAAGAAATCATGAAATGTTTCATATTTTGTCCATAAGTCCTCAAAAGCCAGGATGTATTTTACACATACAGCACATCCTGGCTTCAACTAATACACTTTTGCTTTTAGATACTAGTTCTGATACTCCAAATACATGTCACTTTCCCACCCAGTCCTACACCAAGTGGCTGTCCAACAATTCAGTTTTGATACCAATTCTCAAGAGATGGCACAGACTGCAGGGGTGTGGGGCTTAGTCCACAAGACCATCCACAGTTATACATCGGGATGCTGCCAAGCCCTCTCAGACAGAGGAATTTGCTAGTGCAAATCAGCCCTGAAACATACACATTTGCCAGTGCATTAGAAGAGACTTAAACCTAGGCCATTAAATGGAAATCACATAGGGTATAAGATAGGAGGGCCATGGCAAAAAGCCTGATGGCCAGTCAACCACTACCTCTCTTAATCTGCTTGTTGAGTTTAAATAACTCCAGCCACCTGACCGACCACCCCTGATCAGAGACCTGAAATTGCCACCCTCTCTTCCTGTCACTCCTTTCTGGTGATGAGCCCAGTCCTGAAGCTACTAGAGGCACTACCCTGCGTCCTCTGTTAGCATGAACACAGATGTGGTTGAAAGGGGCTCACTATAGACAACAAGACCCTCCTGTCACCCAGGACATTCCAAGAGTTTTAGCAGCCATGCACCATCTGCTTGCACAGCCCTGTGTATTGAACCATGTACTTCCACAGAGCCCTGCTCTCACTGGTCCTCTACTAGATGATGCAGTAGAGCCGATAGCCTGCTCAGAGCATAGGCACATCAGGAAGGCCTAGGAGCAAGACGCTTGGGTTGCTCTCTTAATTCACTGTGTGACCTTGAACCAGTCCTCTAATTCTGCTGGGCTTTCACATATGACAAAGGACTCAGGAGGCCAAAAGGGCACGCTCGCTAGTAGAGTGCAGGAGCCCCGGGGCCATCCCTTACATTGATTCCAAACTTGACCTTGGCAAGGACTTACATTCCAAACTGAAGTTTAAAAGAGCAACTGAAAAGAAAATCCACATAAAACAAAGATTCCAGAGATCAGGGTGCAGCCTGGTACCATGTGCTTAGCACGCGCCACACCCTGGTTCCCATCCCCGGCACCAAAGCAAATAAAGATTCTGACCAAATAGGTGTGGGGTGGGATTTAACCTGCCATTTCTAACTCACTTAAAGGTGACACTTCACAGCTGGTCCAAGAAGCACCCCAGGAGTAGGAGTCATGCTGTCTCCATGCTGGGAGAAGGGGACACCAATGAAAGGACATGCAGACAGAGCCAAAAAGCCACAAAGCAGATGTGACCTTTGGGTCATCTTCCAGAGATACTGGCCTATTCTGAGCATAGGTTGCTTCCCCTGATTGCAGAGTCCAATGTGGTCAGCCACCTCAAGACCAAGTTCCAGAGACCTACTGAATGCCCAGTCCAAAGATACAGGTTCCACCCAGGGTAGCACTAGACCAGGAGACATTACATACTTACAGGTTGCTGCCAAGTCGGTTACAGTTGCTGATTGCTAATGTCTAAAGATCAGACAACAAGAAGAGGGACTACTGCATGCCCAATGAAGCCGACCTTGACACGGTTGCCTTGGCCCATGAGGGTGCCTATCTTGCTACCATATTGGACATTCAAGGGAAAGGTACATCTTCTTTCATTGGTGACAGACCACGGAGCAGCTGGGACATTGATCAGAGGCTCTCATATCCTTATCTGAGAGGTGTGCTCCAAGGCCACCACCAGTGATCTAGAGATTCAGCTCTCTTGAGTTCTCTGCCCAGAGACAAAAATTGCAGCATTTTCAACATGCCATCAGTGCACACAGAAGCTCCTGGCCATGAGCAGTCAGCTCCTCACTTCCCTCAGCCTCATTTGCTTCACCTAGAAGTGAGAAATAAACACTGAAAAGCTGGCCTGGCTCAGTGGATGAAGGAACCTACCACCACGCCTGAGGCCCAAGTTCAACCCCTGGAACCCACAGGGTGGAAGGAAAGAACTACCTCCTCAAATGGTTCTGACCTCCACATGTGTGCTGTGGAACTCAGGTGTTCATGTACCACACATACATACATACACATATACACACACATACACACACACACCCCCTACCTGGCTGACAGGAACTCTTACACCCTTTCAGACATGGGCCCACCCTCACCTGGGTCCCACCTGGCTTTGGTGACCTCTTGCCACCACTAGCTGAGTTAGTTGATCCAGGGAAGGGGCTGTCTGCCATGGCCATCATTAGCTTGGCCCTAGACAGGGGGGCTGGGAGCCTCACCAGTAAGAGGTAGCAAACCTTTCCCTCCCTAGGACCCCAGTACATGGTCCTCAGCCTCTTCCCTGCCCCAAGCATAGGCTAGAACCTGCTATGAATGGACTGGTCATACAAAACCCCTGACCATTGTTTAGTCATTCAACATGCATCCACTGGTGTTGTGTTGATGCTGCTCAGATACTCTGGACCCTAAATAAAGTCTGCAAGTGTTGTTTGTGTCCAGGGTAGCCAGAGCCATTCAGGTGAAGGCAGGCAGGAACCAGCAGAAAGTCTGCAGTGGGGCCAGAGACTTCCTGATCAGCCGCATTTATGTTGACTCTTAGGTGAGGTGATGGCTGAGCAAAGGTGAATCAGGTGAAGGCAAGGGAAAGAAGCCAAGCCAGTGTGCGCTCTGGGGCGAGGAGCACTCAGGGCAGGCAGGTTGGGAACTGCTGAGGCTGTTCAAGCTTGATGAGGCCCAGGGCTGGATAGGCCCAGAACTACAGACAGCTGGAGGCACCTACAGGAGCTGGGCCCTATCTGGTGGAACAGAATGGATTACCAGGCATCAAAGAATGGCCGTGGGAGGGGAGGGCTGGCCAGGAAGAGAGAAGCCAGGCCTTGCCAGGATTACAGGAGCTGGGCCCTATCTGGTGGAACAGAATGGATTACCAGGCATCAGAGAATGGCCGTGGGAGGGGAGGGCTGGCCAGGGAGAGAGAAGCCAGGCCTTGCCAGGACACATGCCCATTAGGAAGCTGGAGACTTTTCCGGGGTTAAATGGCCTTGTCTAAGGTCACACAGCAGAGCCTAGTGGAGGTAGGATTTGAGCCCAGAGCTGTCTGGGTGTATCCTGTGTGTCCTTGTCCCAGCTAGGCCATAAGGGGAGACAGTGACTCTTGCCTGGCCAGGCTACTCGGACAGCTGTTCAAGGCCAGGAGTCCCCTCCTGGGGACCAGACAGGACATAAAGTTCCTTCTGTAGGAGGGAAGTTGAGCCTTGTAGTGAGAACAGAGGCCCCCAGCAGACTTAGCCCCTCACACTCTGCCACACACAACCAGAGCATTAACAAGGCACATCAGCCATTCTGCATCAAGAGACTCCTGACGCCTTTCCAAGAGAAGCCCAGCCCCCGCCTGCCCCTGCTGCCACACAGCCCAACCATAGCTGAACCTTCTAGGAAATCCAGGCCTGGGCAAGAAACAAATGGATTTGGTCCAAGCCCAGGAGGTGGTGCCTTGCGACCCTCAGTGAGCCAGGCTTCTTTCTCCCCAGGCTCCTGTAGCCTCAGTATCTTCTGGCTTCCGACTTCCACTCTGCAGGCCCTGGCCTCAGACAGCCAAGACTTCAACACCAGATGCCTGGACAGACCCCCACTCTGGCCACATCGGATCCATCTCCTCATTCCCCAAGGTCCCCTGAGGTTCCACATTCAGTACAGCCCCAGCCAGAGGAATGTGAGCCATTCCCGGCATCTCCTCCCCTGTGGCCAGCCCGGAGAGGGGCTGGGGCCTCTGGGCCTTGCTGACAGGAAATTAGCTGGGCCGGGCCTTCCCCGCTGCCAGCTGCTCTGCTGCCCCTGACCTGTGTTTTCTGAAACTTGATCCTGCAAATTTCAGAACTTCTTCCAGGTCCCCAGGATGTCTGTGGATCTCTGCACGTCTAGCAAGCCTCGGAGGGCTCGACCTGAGACTGGGCCCCATGGAG